TTGAATGATGATGAAAGTATTTTCTTTTTGGGGATTTTCTTTCTTTTTTGGGTCACCCTGCCTCGGTGGGAGACGGCCGACTTGTTGAAGAAAAAAAAAAAGAAAAGGTGATACCACATGCCAGCTTTCTTATATATGAATGGTGGACCAATATACCATTATTAGTGGCATACTGACTTTGTTTCCTGACTCATTTTTTAGTAAATATGGTATTGTACAGTGCCTGCACTCTAAAGGAGGGGCGGGATATTTGCTGTTTGGAGGGGTATCTGAACTGTTGTATCTGTGCACCTCTGGAAAGACAGTAATGGGGTGAGTGATTGTGAGAGTTTCTTTTCTGGGTCACCCTACCTTGGTGGGAGATGGCCAGTGATTAAAAAAAAAAATAATCAAAGTTACCTCTGCATAATCGGTTGAGAACAGAGTGCGCTTGAGAAATCAGTGAGGTAATCTTTAACTTGGGTATGAGAGTTTAGTATTTTGCTGGCTAGATTTGATTCAACAGTCAAGAAGTTTTTTTTTTTTAGTTTATTTACTGTTTCATTGATTTTGATTGGAAGCTCATGAGGAAATGGAGAAAAATCCTTCCTCCGTAAGCCATGCGTGTCATAAGAAGCGACTAAAATGCCAGGAGCAAGGGGCTAGTAATCCCTTCTCCTGTATACATTACTAAATTTAAAATGAAGAAAAACTTTACGTTCCTTATTTTTCAGGTCACCCTGCCTCAGTGGGAGACAGCCGATGTGTTAAAAAAAAAAAAAAAAAAAAAAAAACTTTGGTCTTAGAAAATTTACTTGAACCCAAAATATGACAAAGTGTTTTCCAGGATTTTTCTTATACAGTGGTCCCTCAATAATCGTCCATAATCCGTTCCTGGAAGTGGGACTATTATCGAAATGAACGATTTTCGAATCAATTTTCCCCATAAGAAATAATGTAAATCCAATTAATTCGTTCCAGACACCTAGAAGAATCAACAAAATTTTTTTTTTTACCTAAAAGATAGATTTACATGCACAAAAGAATGAACATTCAACATGACAGTTACCTATATTGAAGGCTGTTGTTGATGAATGGAAGACAGGGAGGAGGAGAGAGGGAAGAGAGGTTATTTGGAAGGGGAATCCCCCTCCATAAGACTCTAGGGCACTAATAAAATGTATAAATGAACATTGGTAATAGGGGTAGTTGATGAGTGGAATGGTCTGCCTAGTAGGGTGATCGAAGCTAAAACATTGGGTAGTTTCAAATTTAGGCTGGATAAATACACGAGTGAGAGGGGTTGGATTTGAGTTGGACTTGCACCTGAGCTTATTGCTTGGGTAGCATTTGTTCTGTTAGTGGGTTGGATTTGTGAAGGACCGGCCTAGTATGGGCCAACAGGCTTATTGCAGTGTTCCTCCTTTCCAATGTTCTAAAAGCTATGGCTTGGGTAGTTTCAAATTTAGGCTGGATAAATACACGAGTGAGAGGGGTTGGATTTGAGTCGGACTTGCACCTGAGTTTATTGCTTGGGTAGCATTTGTTCTGTTAGTGGGTTGGATTTGTGAAGGAACGGCCTAGTATGGGCCAGCAGGCCTGTTCCAGTGTTCCTAGTTTCTTAAGTTCTTATTTAACATCACACTTACCAGTAGGGTGATCGAGGCTAGGACCTTGGGTAGCTTTAAGAAGAGATTAGACAAATATACGAGTTGGAAGAGCTGAGTTTGATTTGTATCATTGGGTACGGGAGTAAATTCTTGGGTAGCTTTGGGTGGAGGTCATTTTGATAAGGACCTGCCTTGTATGGGCCAGTAGACCTGCAGTGTTCTTCCATTGTTATGTTCTTATTGGCTATTTGTTTGTGTGAGGGAGGGATGGCAAGTTTATTGTTGGAGAATATGACACTAATATCAACTCTATGGCTTATTTATCTATCACAATTCAACTAATATGACATAATAAACAATATTAATAACATAGAAACATGGAATATACTCTTGAATGAATAAAATAAGTCATTACGTATGTCACGAGAGGTGTTGTATTGTGTTGTTGTTGGGTATATAAGGGCCACTGAGTGTAAGCCGTCCATAATGGTGGTGAAGCAGCAGCTGAGTTGGCGGTGGTTTTTGTAGCCCTATATAACTCCAACAACATTGGAGGAGTTGGTAGAATCACTGAATCACTAAAGAAGGAACCCACTACCACCATCACTACGACCTTCTACCACTATTACAACTGTTGCCACCATCACTACTACCTTCTACCACGATCACTACTACCTTGTACCACCATCACTACTAACTTCTACCACCATCACTACTACCTTCTACCACCATCACTACCACCAAAGAAAGCTTCTAGTGCCAGCCCTTTGGTAAAGAATGTGAGAAACACATTATTTATGAAAAATTTTGTAGAAAAATACAAAGATGGTGGTGGTAGAGTGGAAGCAGTTGTGATAGTGGTTGATGAACATAAGAACATAAGAAAGGAGGATCACTGCAGCAGGCCTGTTGGCTGCCCAACAACAACACAATACAACACCTCTCGTGACATACGTAATGACTTATTTTATTCATTCAAGAGTATATTCCATGTTTCTATGTTATTAATATTGTTGGCTGCAAATGAGTGGATAGAGTTATCAGAGCTTATTTCTTGGGTAGCATTGAGGACTGGGTTGAGAAAATGTTTTGTTAGTGGGATGAATTGTAAAGGACCTGCCGAGCATGGGCCAACAGGCCTGCTGCAGTGATCCTCCTTTCTTATGTTCATCAACCACTAACACAACTGCTTCCACTCTACCATCACCATCTTTGTATTTTTCTACAAACTTTTTCATAAATTATGTGTTTCTCACATTCTTTACCAAAGGGCTGGCACTAGAAGCTTTATTTGGAGCCATGGTAGCTTATTTAGCACTTGCAAGCACTAAAATCAATGGAATATTATGAAATATTTCGTAGGAACATGTGAGGGGACCGTCACTCACTGGTAAACAATGGCACACTGGCTGGGAAGGAAAGGCCGAGGCGGCTCAGAGCGTGAGTACACGTCTGGGACAAAGGACTATTAGGACTATTAGCGAGTTACAAAACCATTTGCGAGCCAATATTTTGACGAAAAAACAGGACTATTTCCGAAATGGACGACTTTCAGGCCGGACGATTATTGAGGGACCACTGTATCTCCTTTTACCTCATTACACCTGAGATCATAATACAGTTGTCTGGATATCTTTATAAGCTTGGTCAGTGTTGACATATATATTTTAGTTAGTTCTCTGAGTATTAAGCATAATCTGTATTGTTCTTCATAGTTATACTTTTTATGTCAAAAGATTTGAGGATTTGGTTGGTTAGCAATGAACTATTTAGTCTCTTGTGACCTATTTTGCTTTGAAGACAATGTTTATTATAGAGGTTTTGAGATTTTTTTTTTTTTGTGGGAATTTGAGCTTACATGAGTTGCTGTCTGGATTGCTGTTAAATTCTCATTTAACAGCAATCTATACTGTTAAATGAGGATCTAATGAGAATGTAATGATCAAGCTATGAGACTTTCATTATTTTCCCACATATTATCATGTAGTTCTTTCCTATTTCACCAAGTGTCTTTTTCCAAGAGATACAGTGAACCTGAACCTATTTACGTTCGTATTCTAAAGTCCTTAACCAACAGCTTCCTTTGAGAGTACCTAGACTTAGTAAATAATTAAAAAAAATACCCAGGTATATAATGTTAATATACTACAAGATTGTGTACACCATATTTGAGGTAAGATTAGACGTATGCAACACCTGCAAGACTGTAGGACTATTTACTTTATATTCTGTCCTCAAATATCCTCTCACTACTGAACTGACACAGTCATTGGTTGGAGAAATATTTTCACATGAAAATACCCAGGTACTGCCCATCTGTCTAGCTCATGTTGTTGACATGTTGTTGTTCACAAATTTCTTTAGCGTTTTGGAGAACTTGGATTCAGTTTTGCGATCTGGGTCTGGCTGGAGATCAGACTCGAATCTTCCGAGCTCATTGATATAGCCACAACTCATCTTGCTGTAAGGTAAAAGCTTGAATAGTGTAATAATACAGGAGCTACTCAATATACAAACAAGTTACCTTCTTGGTTTCTGAACCAAGAAATGAGCTGTTTATATAGTAAACAATAGTACAGAGGATGGTTATGCTTCATGAGTGTTACTGTTGGGGCTTGGAAATTGTAAGACTTGAATTGATTCCTTAGTATTGTGTTTGTAAGTGTGTGTGCATGTGTGTGTGTAACTTGGGACCTTTGTAAGTGTGGAAGTATGTCACTCTGGATATTTGTGTGTAGATAAGTGTAATTCAGGACCCTTTTAAGTGTGAATGTGCATAACCTGGTACATTTCTGTGTATGGATGTGTGTAACTTGGGACATTTATAAGTGTGGATGTATGTAACATCAGGCCATTATAAGTTAAGAGAACCTTTGTAGAAAAGAACACTTGTGGACAGTTCATCAGTCCTAATAAAGCCACTTAAGGCAGAACGTTTCCTCTAATAAACATCCTGATTTATACACAAGTGTTCTTTTCCACCAGTTTGTTGTTATCACCATTTACAACCCCCCTACTGCAACTGAGTCACCTGATAACTTGAATATCTTCCTGCCTGAAGTATAACAGCTGGGACACTGGACTTATGGTAGAGTAAATACACCGAACTTGATCAAGAGAGATTCCATCAACCTGCACACAAGCATCAAGGCTGTTTTATGACTGGTAAGTGTACACAAAAAATTCTTCCTCCGTAAGCCATGCACGTCGCAAGAGGAGACTAAAATGCCGGGAGCAAGGGGCTAGTAACCCCTTCTAGCAAGGGGCTAGTCACCCTGCCTTTGTGGGATACGGTCGGTTTGTTGAAAAAAAAAAAAGTGTACACAAACTGGATACGTAAAACTAAGTGTTCACATAATTTCTTATGTGAGAGAAATAAAGAGATTCTGTATAAAAAAAAAAAGCATAGCATATAATGTAGCATTTTTTACACAAAATATTTTATTTACAAGATGAAATATAAAACAAAGGTTACATGAATTCAAAAGTAGATAAAAGTTTCTTCATACAGTAAAAAGCATACTGTACTCACCTGTTATTCTAGCCAATAAAATAACCTAGCAAATGCCAAGTCAAACCTTCTGTCTTATGTTAACAGAATTAATAAAATGAGTGAGATACTGGTATTTAGTAAGGAATATTATAGAGTATGCATAATGAACAATGAATGTGTTCTGTAATCACGAGGGAAATACATCACTGAAATTGTCTTGAGAAATGGAAGATGGAGAGAGAGGAGGTACCGAGGACTCCACGCTTGACCTACTGCTGTGTTGTGATCTCAGGGTCACACTGGTCACATCCTTGATGATCATCTCTGCTACTTTGTAGGCCATGTCTTCTTTAACCTTATCTTCATCCATGTTCACAAATTTCTTTAGCGTTTTGGAGAACTTGGATTCAGTTTTGCGATCTGGGTCTGGCTGGAGATCAGACTCGAATCTTCCGAGCTCATTGATATAGCCACAACTCATCTTGCTGTAAGGTAAAAGCTTGAATAAACACAAATGCACAAATGTATAAACAAAACTGTTATATATATTGAACAGCAACATTCACACCACATTTAGAGGATGAAGCAAGATAGGATGACTTTGAGTGTGTATAAATTTGTAGTGGAGGGAAGGTGGGGTAGAGGTCATTCTAGGAGAGGATGGAGGGAGGAGGTAAAAGAAGTTTTATGTGCAAGGGGCTTGGACAAACAGCAGGCATATGCAAGCATGTTAGATAGGAGTGGAGACAAATGCTATTCGGGACCTGACGAGCTGTTGGAGTGTGAGCAAGGTAATATTTTGTGAAGTGATTCAGGAAAACAGGTTAGCTGGACCTGAATCCTGGAGGTGGGAAGTAAAATGCCTGCAATCTAAAGGAGGGGTTTGGGATACTTGCTGTTTGGGGGGACATCTACACTGTTGTATCTGTGCGCCTCTGGCAAGACAGTGATAGTGTGAATGGCGGTGAAAGTGTTTCTTTTTCAGGTAACCCTGCCTCAGTGGGATATGGTCAATGTGTTAAAAAATATATAGACAAGTAGAAGAGTAGAACACATGTGCAAGGTTGATGGACTGATCACATAATTTTTTACCTCCCCACTGCTCCTGCTGTCTCCGTACTCAGTCACCTTTATATTCCATTGAAGAAGCCTACTGTCTAAGTGAATCATTTTATAAATAAAAGTACCTACCAGTATGTAAGTACATAGCATGTATTTACTTCTCAAGTTTCCCAAATATGTACCTACTTCTTAAAACCCATTTGCCCTCACTGGGTGGAAGTGAGAATGAGAGCAAGAAGCAGTGCAAATGCTGCCCTTCCCTACACATCTGCCACCCCAGTCTTCTCCCATACCACACACTCAACCATAACAGTGAGCAAGTAGTGACCATACGTGAATAAGAATAAGAGAGTGAGAATGAGAAAGAGATAGTCCAGCTACAGTCCACCCCTACACATGTCTAACTGACAATTCTACTAGATATTTGCCCCTTCAGTGAGGTCACCTCTATAGATCTACTATACAAATTGTACCGCATACTGTACTCTATCTAGTTAACCAGGACTCTAGCTTGGCTGGATTCAAGTCCTGGAAATGGGAAGCACAGTGCCTGGACTCTGAAGGAGGGGTGAGGATGCTGCAGTTCATTGGGTCATCCGAACTGTGATGTCGCACAAATTTTGGAATAGGTGAGTGAATTAATGACAGCTTATGTTTTTTTATTTTTTAACAGGCTGGCTGTCTCCCGCCAAGGCAGGGTAACCCCAAAAAAAGAACATTTTCACCATTGTTTATACTATCAGTCTTGCCAGAGGCATGTATTTATGACAGGTTAGATGTCTCTCAAACCCAGGGGTGGGCAAACTTTTCAATGCCATCAACTGAGAACTATACTTGTCTGATAATGTTTGTGTAACAGCTCGTGTTTTCAACAAAGGAAAATGAACAAAGTTTTGCTCATTCAGCTGCATATACATGAGCATATGACTTGATCTTGGTGGGTCGCATGAAAACCTTTGGTGGGCAGCAGTTTGCCCATCCCTGCTCTAACCCCTTAACCCTTTCAGGGTTTCGGACGTACTAGTACGGCTTACGCACCAGGGCTTTTGACGTACTAGTATGCCTAAATTCTAGCGCCCTCAAATCTAGTGAAAGCTGGTAGGCCTACATATGAAAGAATGGGTCTATGTGGTCAGTGTGCACAGTATACAAAAAATCCTGCAGCACACAGTGCGTAATGAGAAAAAAAAAAACTTTGACAGTGCTTTTGGATTAAAACAGCGACTTTGCACTGTATTTTCGTATGGTATTTATTGTTGTATTCTAGTTTTCCTGGTCTCATTTTACAGAATGGAAGACATATTACAGAAATTGAGATGATTTTGACTGGTTTTACAAAGAAAAGTACCTTGAAATTGAGCTCAAAGTAGCAGAAATGTTCGATTTTTACCAAAGTTCAAAAGTAAACGAATCATGCTACGCGTCCAATACACGTCAACTGATGAGTCTAATATTCTTTCACAAGTGCGCTGATATTATTTATACCATTTCTACACTAATGCAGTAGTCTGCATAACAGTAAATCTTCTATTTTTGTGAGAATAAAAATTCAAAGTGGAAAGCAAAAGAATGTAAGAGGGGTGTGGGGATGTGACTAATGAACAGAGGAAATGTTATTTTAGTGCCAGGAATGTCTTTCTTGTTTATTCTGGACCCTATTCGGAAATTGGCATCTTTTGAAATTTGTGTGAAATTGGCAAAATTGCTAAATTCTGATTACTTTATTGGATAGTTGAAATTGGTAAATGGGTGGTTTCTTGTATTCATTCGATAGAAAAAATGGAGTTCTAGTGAAATAGTTATGATTTCTGTCGACCAGTACACTGGAATTGGCCGAAAATGGGGCTCAAAGTAGGCAAAATCGCCAATGTGTAAACATCGTCGAGACCGCTAACTTCGCAAGAGCATAATTCCATAAGTTTTCCATTAAATTTCATACTTTTGGTGTCATTATGATCGGGAAAAGATTCTCTATCTTTTCATAAGAAAAAATAATTTTTTTTTTAAAAATTGGCGACCCTGAGAACAATCTCAGAGAGGGCCTGGCGACCCTGAAAGGGTTAACTGTCCAAACGTAGATCTATGTTCTTATTAATAGTGCTCCAAACGTAGATCGTTTTATTTTTCCTGCCTCCAAATTTGACACAATTGGGTAGAGACATGGCTGACAAATAGACAGCAGAGAGTTTGCATAAATGGGGAGAAATCAGAATGGGGGCACGTCACAAGCGGTGTTCCTCAGGGGTCAGTGTTGGGCCCGTTGTTGTTCACAATTTACATAAACGACATAGATGAGGGAATAAATAGCGACATAAGTAAATTTGCTGATGACACCAAAATAGGCCGTCCAATTCATTCTAATGAGGACACTAGAGCACTCCAGGATGATTTGAATAGACTGATGCAATGGTCGGAGAAGTGGCAGATGCAGTTTAATATTGACAAATGCAAAGTTGGACAGTTAAATAACCATGCCACATATAAACTAAATAATGTTGATCTTAATACTACTGATTGCAAAAAGGATTTAGGAGTTCTGGTTAGTAGTAATCTAAAACCAAGACAACGGTGCATTAGTGTTCGCAATAAAGCTAACAGAATTCTTGGCTTCATATCTAGAAGTATAAATAATAGAAGTCCTCAGGTTGTTCTTCAAGTCTATATATCCTTGGTTAGGCCTCAGTTAGACTATGCTGCTCAGTTCTGGCCACTGTATTACAGAATGGATATAAATGCTCTGGAAAACATAGAGGAGGATGACAAAGATGATCCCATGTATCAGAAATCTTCCCTATGAGGATAGACTGAGGCCCTGAATCTGCACTCTCTCGAAAAGCGTAGAATTAGGGGGGATATGATCGAGGTATATAAATGGAAAACAGGAATAAATAAAGGGGATGTAAATAGCGTGCTGAAAATTTCCAGCCAAGACAGGACTCGCAGCAATGGTTTCAAGTTGGAAAAATTCAGATTCAGGGAGGATATAGGAAAGCACTGGTTTGGTAATAGAGTTGTGGATGAGTGGAACAAACTCCCGAGTACAGTTATTCAGGCTAAAACGTTGTGTAGTTTTAAAAATAGATTAGATGAATACATGAGTGGGTGAGGGTGGGTGTGAGTTGGACCTGACTAGCTTGTGCTGTTGGGTCTGGTGCAGTGCTCCATCCTTGAGTGAAGATGACCAGACTGGGTGGGTCTTTGGGCTAATCCGAGGGGGGGGGATCACTGGTCTAATCCGGGGGGGGGGGGAGAATCATTGGTCTAATCTGGGGGGGGGGATCATTGGTCTAATCTGGGGGGGGGGGACATGGACCTGCTCTGCATGGGTCAGTAGGCCTGTTGCAGTGTTCCTTCTTTCTTATGTTCTTATGAGATGCCTGGTCAGCATAGAATGGGTCTTAACACTCGGTGTGCGCAATACAGGTCTCCCTCCACATTTGTGAGGTTTGGGGATCGAGAACCTCGCAAATGTTGAAAAATCGCGAATGTTTGGTGCACAAATATATTGTAGGGAAATATAATAATAGAATTTACTTGGCCTAACAATACTACTTCCTTAACCTATTGAACCATGAACAATCATAAAACACATGAAAACATTGTAAAATATTGTACTAGTGCCATCCCTTTGGTAAAGAAGGTGAGAAAGACTCTAGAATTCAAGAAAGAACTTGTAGCAGAGTACCAAAGTGGAGGAGGAAGAGAGAGGGGAGAAAGTGCCTTCTTCAGTGATTCAACAATATGTACGATACTATAGCAGCATAAGCTGATAAAGGCTATAGCGCCAGCCAGTGATAAAGTGTAGCATTAACAGTGTAGCAAGTAAGTTAAGCAATTAATCGATAGAAAAAGGACAGCACGAACCTAACTCCTCCAATGTTCTTGGAGTTAAATAGGGTGACTGACAACACCGCTGCCTCTGCTGCCGCCTCCACCACCACTATGTACGGCTTATGCTCTCAGTGGCCCTTATACAACCAACAACAACAACACAGCAACACTTGTGACATACTTAATGACATATTTTATTTATTCTAGAGTATATGTCATGTTTCTATGTTATTAATATTGTTTATTATGTCATATTATATGAATAGTGATAGATAAATAAGCTGTAGAATTTATATTAGTGTCATACTGAAGAACTATCTTGTCCTATCTCCAAACTAACTCTGCCACCACCACAATTCCTAACATATGTAATGACATATTTTAAATATGATTGGGCGGCTGGACATTTGTGAAAGTTCGAAGCCCACAAAAGTGGAACTCGCAAATGTGGAGGGAGACCTGTATTAAAAAAAATCTGGGACCACTTAATACCTTGTGGTAGCACCAGTTCAATTGAGCGCCAGCTAGAGCAAACATCATGGCAAACACCAGGGATTCACTAATGTCATGTTGTATTAACACTCCCCTTTTAAGAGGAAAGGGATACTGACCCTGAGTTTAGTGTCTTTGAGATGGATGTGGACACAAGTGGTCGAGGAAATATCAAAAACCTTGATGTGCAACATATGCAACATTTGTGTCACACCTTTTAATTTTGATACCATTGGTGGTGTCATCATGCCAGGATGTCCTATAACCTATGTCCTAAGTAAAGAGAAACAATTCTGAAAGGTGTAATATGTATTCGGCAGGCCGGCTGGCTGGATGATTGACTCACGCTGTCTCTATCTCACTGTCTGTATTTATCTGTCTGTATTTATCTGTCTGTATTTATCTGTCTATCTGCCTCTATCTCACAGGTACACATAAGTACAGTTATACATAGTGTAAATTACCTAGGATTACCCAAAAAATTCTCCATGGGGAAGTGGAACAGAATTCTTCCTCAGTAAGCCATGTGTGTCGTAAGAATCGACTAAAATGCTGGGAGCAAGGGGCTAGTAACCCCTTCTCCTGTATACATTACTAAAGTTAAAAGAGAAACTTTTGTTTTTCTTTTTGGGTCACCCTGCCTCGGTGGGATACAGCCAGTTTGTTGAAAGAAGAAGAACCCGAAAAATCCAGACAAAGTGCTATACTGTACTGTGCTTGTAGATATAAGGCATAATAAGCATGACTACGGCCTGAGCTTGCTACCATCTGCAGCTCATAAGACTGCTATCCCCATGAGCCCCTTTGGGGCGGGGCAGATGGTAGACACCAAAGGCCTAGCTTCTCTCTACGAGCCCCGTGAGGGCGGGGAATGTGGCTAGGCCTGGGGACACTTGGTCCCAAAGATGAGGAGGTACTTGTACCTCCTCCCATGGGAGACTTAAGTCTTGAGACACTCCCCAGATAGGGAGCCAAGGCCGGGTCACCACTACTTGGAAAAGACCCGGGCCGGGAGAATACCGGCGAATAAAAAAAAAAAAAAAAAAGCACGACTGGCAAGTAACGCGCATTTTCACTTGATCAGGAATCAGACACGATGACTCTGCATCGTGTATAATACCTGTTGGTTCATGAGCGGCTCTCTCTGAGACAGAAAGAAGAGACGAGCAAAGAGACAGGAAGACAAACACAGGCAGACAGAAAGATAGATAAGCAGAGACTGAGATAAACATAGACAGAGCTAGACAGATAGAGACAATGTTAATGTGCATATGTGACCAAGGCAGGTGAAAATATTCATCTGTCATTGTGTTTGTGACAATTTGAGTACTATTTCAGTACCTAATATCAGTGTCAGAACAAAGACAGGCTATAAAATCACAAGAACTACTACATATTGTAATTATCAGAACATAAAAATTATATATATCATGAGAAAAAAAAGGCATGTCAGCAACACTACTGCAAGCGGCAGGACTCCATGTTGCCATCAGGTGAGCATCAGTGCCAACTTGGTAGTCTTATATCTCGGTAAGTACTGACTCTAAATTTTTTTTTTTTGGTCTTATTACACATAGAATATTGCCCTCCTTATTAAGAAAAAAAATTTAAATATTCAGAGCACTAGCAGTGACAACGTAGATCTACATTTGGACAGTTAACAGGCTAAACTGCTAATATCCAAAACCCCTTCTTTCAAGTCCAGGCATTGTACTTCCCACCTCCGGGACTCAAGTCCGGCTGACCGGTTTCCCTGAATTCCTTCACAAAATGTTACCCTGCTCACACTCAACAGCTCGTCAGGTCTCAAAAACCACTTGTCTCCATTCACTCCTATCTAACATGCTCATGCACATTTGCTGGAGGTCCAAGCCCCTCAAACACAAAACCTCCTTTACTCCCTCCCTGCACTCCTTCCTAGGACAACCCCTACCCTGCCTTCCTTCTCCTACAGATTTTTACACTCTCTATGCCATTCTACTTTGATCAATCCTCTTTAAATGACCAAACCACCTCAACAACTCCTCTTCAGCCCTCTGACTAATACTTTTAGTAACTCCGCACCTCCTCCTAATTTCTACACTACGAATTCTCTGCATAATATTTACACAACACAATACCCTTAGACATGACATCTCCACTACCTCCAGCCGCCTCCTCACTGCAGCATTCACAACCCAAGCTTCACACCCATATAAGAGTGTTAGTATCACTTTACTCTCGTATATTTCCTTCTTTGCCTTCATGGATAACAATATAGATATTAGAACATAAAGAGAACAACACACAAATACTACCTAAAATTTTTCCTCCGCCAGAGTGAGTCTGGGTCGGTAATTTGCGTTTCATCTATCCTCATGGCAAGTGTGGGGTCATCCAAGTTGCGGAAGCGATGGGGCGCTGATGTATCCATCGCCAGGAGTGTGTTGTGAGTGCTGATTCCTGCCCCACCATAGCTGCTGCTCTGCTCACTACTGCATGTACTCTCAGAACCTACAGAGAAGACACATTTATTATAGACAGGATTATCTTAATGGGGAAGCACTAAACCTGTAGGAGCCATACAGCAGGGAGGAAACACTTGTTCATAACTTCACGCCAGTCACAGGCTCAGATTATAAGGAATTGAGGCTACGCTTCAGTGCAATTTTTTTTTTTAACACATCGACTGTTTCCCACCAAGGTAAGGTGACCCAAACCTCATTACCTTCTCTGTCCACTCCTTGTATGACCCATACAGGTTTAGCACTGATTCTGAAGACAAGTTGCAATGTTAGTGAATGAATTTGGGAGGGTATGTCAAAGGAGGATATTACATGTGAAAACAGGAAAAAACAAGATAATGAGAGTAACAAAAATCTAGGCAATTAAAGATTGGATATCAGAGTGGAGAGAATATGAAGGATGTGCTGAGATATCTGGGAGTAGACTTATGTACTTACAAGCTAAGAGCTGTTACCTACATCAGCTCTTGAAAGCCTTTTTATTGTTATGAGACATAAAAATATGGAACAGGGTGAAGTTGGAGCCATCTGTGGGCCAGCAATTTCAATAGCTCAACTGAAAACCAATGAAAATGTGGAACACTGAAAAGAGTGTGCCGAATATGTGAGGCTCTCCTGTAATACTAAATGGCCACGTAGATATATTGCCTAATACAATCTCTAAACACTAGTTAACATTACAAAGGTAAGGATTACATTCTAACTATAGCTGTACTCACCAGAACGCTTCTTTCGGCCGAGCAGCTCCACACTGGTTTTCACCGTGTTAATTAACTCACTCAGGTACTTGATGTGCAGGTTGGAGGATAAATAACCAGGCAAGAAATCCTGCAACAACATTTAGGAATAAATTCTGCAATTCATTAAGTAATTACTAAATTCAAAGATAAGACTAGTGGTAAGCCCAGAGTGTGAAACACAGCTTTTTATTGATGAATTAGGCATGTGTGTTAACACCTAACTTTGAGAGGCAGTAAACATTTTCAAGGTTAAGGAGCTCGTCTACTGTCATCAGTTTCAATACCAATGTTTATCTCATCTTCCACTGTCTCCAGTTTCAATACCAATGTTGAGGTAATGTTTATGTCATCCTCCACTGTCTCCAGTGGAATAATTACCTTACCAGGTAATGATTACCTAAACAGGAGGGGTGAGGATGTTATACAGTGGACCCCAGCATACCGTTGGCATCACATAACGTTAAATCCGCATAGCGATACATTTTATCACTAAAATTTTGCCTCGCATAGCGCTAAAAAACTCGCTCAACGCTATTCGTCCGAGACGCGTCTATGTGAGGTCTGAGCCAGCCTCACATGTTCCGCCGGTGACATTGTTTACAAGCCAGCCTCCACGGTAACATCTAAGCATACAATCGGAACATTTCGTATTATTACAGCGTTTTTGGTGATTTTACCTGCAAAATAAGTGACCATGGGCCCCAAGAAAGCTTCTAGTGCCAACCCTGTGGTAAAAAGGGTGAGAAATATTATCGAAATACTGTGGTACCATGGTCAACTGCTGATGCTGCTGCTGCTGTAGCACTGTCAGCTGCTGCTGCTGCTGCTGTAGCACCGTCAGCTGCTGCTGCTGCTGTACCCCCGTCAGCTGCTGCTGCTGCTGTAGTTTCCGTCTGCTGCTGCTGTGTACCGTCTGCTGCTGCTGTAGCACCGTCTGCTGCTGCTGTAGCACTGTCAGCTGCTGCTGCTGCTGTAGCACCGTTCAGCTGCTGCTGCTGCTTTTACCACCGTCGCTGCTGCTGCTGCGTAGTACCGTCTGCTGCTGCTGTAGCCACCGTCTGCTGTGCTGTAGCACTGTCAGCTGCTGCTGCTGCTGTGGCACCATCAGCTGCTGCTGCTCCTGCTGTACCACCATCAGCTGCTGCTGCTGTAGCACCGTCTGCTGCTGCTGTAGCACCATCTGCTGCTGCTGTAGCACTGTCAGCTGCTGCTGCTGTAGTACCGTCTGCTGCTGCTGTAGCACTGTCAGGTGCTGCTGCTGCTGCTGTAGCACCGTTGTTGGTGTGGCTTATTGAGAATACCAAGAAACAATTAACCCCAGAGGGTTAGCCACCCAGGATAACCCAAAAAAGTCAGTGTCATTGAAGATTGTCTAACTTATTTCCATTAGGGTCCTTAATCTTGTCTCCCAGGATGCAACCCACACCAGTCGACTAACACCCAGGTGAACAGGGAAAAATGCCTGGAACTAGTGCTCATATTGGTGAATTTAAAGCCAGCAAAGGTTGGTTTGAGAGATTTAAGAATCGTAGTGGCATACACAGTGTGATAAGGCCTGTTCTGGAAGAAAATGCCAAACAGGACCTACAGTACTCAGGAGGAAAAGGCACTCCAAGGACACACTGTCTCATCAGTCATTGCTGCATCTTCAATAAAGGTAAGTGTCATTTATTCTTCATTTAGTAGAGTAGTACATGCACAATATATACTGTGCATGTACTACTCTACTATTGTGCATGTATCCTTCTCTTTGTGTGTAGGAAAATGTACATTTCATGTGGTAAAAATTTTTTTTTTCATACTTTTGGGTGTCTTGCACGGATTAATTTGATTTCCATTAAATGGAGAGTTAGAGGTATTGGGAAGATGGAGGGAATATTTTGAGGAATTGTTAAATGTTGATGAAGATAGGGAAGCTGTGATTTCGTGTATAGGGCAAGGAGGAATAACATCTTGTAGGAGTGAGGAAGAGCCAGTTGTGAGTGTGGGGGAAGTTCGTGAGGCAGTAGGTAAAATGAAAGGGGGTAAGGCAGCCGGGATTGATGGGATAAAGATAGAAATGTTAAAAGCAGGTGGGGATATAGTTTTGGAGTGGTTGGTGCAATTATTTAATAAATGTATGGAAGAGGGTAAGGTACCTAGGGATTGGCAGAGAGCATGCATAGTTCCTTTGTATAAAGGCAAAAGGGGATAAAAGAGAGTGCAAAAATTATAGGGGGATAAGTCTGTTGAGTGTACCTGGTAAAGTGTATGGTAGAGTTATAATTGAAAGAATTAAGAGTAAGACGGAGAATAGGATAGCAGATGAACAAGGAGGCTTTAGGAAAGGTAGGGGGTGGTGGACCAGGTGTTTACAGTGAAACATATAAGTGAACAGTATTTAGATAAGGCTAAAGAGGTCTTTGTGGCATTTATGGATTTGGAAAAGGCGTATGACAGGGTGGATAGGGGGGCAATGTGGCAGATGTTGCAAGTGTATGGTGTAGGAGGTAGGTTACTGAAAGCAGTGAAGAGTTTTTACGAGGATAGTGAGGCTCAAGTTAGAGTATGTAGGAAAGAGGGAAATTTTTTCCCAGTAAAAGTAGGCCTTAGACAAGGATGTGTGATGTCACCGTGGTTGTTTAATATATTTATAGATGGGGTTGTAAGAGAAGTAAATGCGAGGGTCTTGGCAAGAGGCGTGGAGTTAAAAGATAAAGAATCACACACAAAGTGGGAGTTGTCACAGCTGCTCTTTGCTGATGACACTGTGCTCTTGGGAGATTCTGAAGAGAAGCTGCAGAGATTGGTGGATGAATTTGGTAGGGTGTGCAAAAGAAGAAAATTAAAGGTGAATACAGGAAAGAGTAAGGTTATGAGGATAACAAAAAGATTAGGTGATGAAAGATTGAATGTCAGATTGGAGGGAGAGAGTATGGGGAGGTGAACGTATTCAGATATTTGGGAGTGGACGTGTCAGCGGATGGGTCTATGAAAGATGAGGTGAATCATAGAATTGATGAGGGAAAAAGAGTGAGTGGTGCACTTAGGAGTCTGTGGAGACAAAGAACTTTGTCCTTGGAGGCAAAGAGGGGAATGTATGAGAGTATAGTTTTACCAACGCTCTTATATGGGTGTGAAGCGTGGGTGATGAATGTTGCAGCGAGGAGAAGGCTGGAGGCAGTGGAGATGTCATGTCTGAGGGCAATGTGTGGTGTGAATATAATGCAGAGAATTCGTAGTTTGGAAGTTAGGAGGAGGTGCGGATTACCAAAACTGTTGTCCAGAGGGCTGAGGAAGGGTTGTTGAGGTGGTTCGAACATGTAGAGAGAATGGAGCGAAACAGAATGACTTCAAGAGTGTATCAGTCTGTAGTGGAAGGAAGGCGGGGTAGGGGTCGGCCTAGGAAGGGTTGGAGGGAGGGGGTAAAAGAGGTTTTGTGTGCGAGGGGCTTGGACTTCCAGCAGGCATGCGTGAGCGTGTTTGATAGGAGTGAATGGAGACAAATGGTTTTTAATACTTGACGTGCTGTTGGAGTGTGAGCAAAGTAACATTTATGAAGGGATTCAGGGAAACCGGCAGCCGGACTTGAGTCCTGGAGATGGGAAGTACAGTGCCTGCACTCTGAAGGAGGGGTGTTAATGTTGCAGTTTAAAAACTGTAGTGTAAAGCACCCTTCTGGCAAGACAGTGATGGAGCGAATGATGGTGAAAGTTTTTCTTTTTCGGGCCACCCTGCCTTGGTGGGAATCGGCCAGTGTGATAATAAAAATAAAAAAAATATTTCTTATGGGGAAAATTCATTCGCATAACGATAATTTCGCATAACAAAGAGCTCTCAGGAACGGATTAATATCGTTATGCGGGGGTCCACTGTATTTTGTTAAATGCATCGCTATATTCAGAGAAACAATTAACCAGAAGTGTAGTGTTTGGGGAATGGGAGGTAATGAGGTTTGATCCAAGAAAGCAAAAGGTAGCTCCAATTCCAGAGATCAGAAGACCATCCCCAGCACACAGGCACCCCTACAAAGCATTCGTGACTCACAAAATTGTAATAACACTATTGCAAATAAATCACGGAATGCACTGGTCTGCCAGTTTTAGGACTCACTTGCTACAGGTTTAAACCTCACCCATTCTGTGATTTGAAGAGGCTCATAATGAGATACTCACCCTCTCTAGTATATGTAGTACCACTCGAAGTGGTATGTCAAAACAGGAGGGAAGAGGTCCTGTCTCGTGACAAATATTTCCCTCAACGATGAACCTGACACTATCACTGAACCCAAGTGGACACATCGCTTGAAGAGAGAAATACCTGAAAAAATGGTATATTTAGAAATATGTACAGTATGACAAAAGGCATATAAGAATCCAAAAATCCTGGGAGCTTTGGAGATTATACTACTGCATACTACATATTCTCAAAGTTGTATTTACACAAACTTTAATCACATTTCCTTCAGCACTTCACATTGCTCTTACTAACTCTACCTCTGTTACACTCTCCACCCTCGCTAGACTCAAATCAAACATATTAAAACTTTAGCACGCCCTACCCTGCAATTCTGTATCACCCTTCCTGGTTTAGCGCTTAGTTATGATTTTTATAATAATAATACTAATAATAATAATAATAATAATAATAATAATAATAATAATCAACATCATATATATATATATAAATATTTTTTTTTTTTTCAACAAGTTGGTCGTCTCCCACCGAGGCAGGGTGACCCAAAAAAGAAAGAAAATCCCCAAAAAGAAAATACTTTCATCATCATTCAACACTTTCACCACACTCGCACATTATCACTGCTTTTGCAGAGGTGCTCAGAATACAACAGTTTAGAAGCATATATGTATAAAGATACACAACATATCCCCCCAAACTGCCAATATCCCAAACTCCTCCTTTAAAGTGCAGGCATTGTACTTCCCATTTCCAGGACTCAAGTCCAACTATAAGAAAATAACCGGTTTCCCTGAATCCCTTCACTAAATATTACCCTGCTCACACTCCAACAGATCGTCAGGTCCCAAGTATCATTCGTCTCCATTCACTCCTAACACGCTCATGCACGCTTGCTGGAAGTCCAAGCCCCTCGCCCACAAAACCTCCTTTACCCCCTCTTTCCAACCCTTTCGAGGACGACCCCTACCCCTCTTTCCTTCCCCTATAGATTTATATGCTTTCCATGTCATTCTACTTTGATCCATTCTCTCTAAATGACCAAACCACCTCAACAGCCCCTCTTCTGCCTCTGACTAATGCTTTTATTAACTCCACACCTTCTCCTAATTTCCACACTCCGAATTTTCTGCATAATATTTACACCACACATTGCCCTTAGACAGGACATCTCCACTGCCTCCAACCGTCTCCTCGCTGCTGCATTTACCACCCAAGCTTCACATCCATATAAGAGTGTTGGTACTACTATACTTTCATACATTCCCTTCTTTGCCTCCATAGATAACGTTTTTTGACTCCACATATACCTCAACGCACCACTCACCTTTTTTCCCTCATCAATTCTATGATTAACCTCATCCTTCATAAATCCATCCGCAACAAGTCAACTCCCAAGTATCTGAAAACATTCACTTCTTCCATACTCCTCCTCCCCAACTTGATATCCAATTTTTCTTTATCTAAATCATTTGATACCCTCATCACCTTACTCCTTTCTATGTTCACTTTCAACTTTCTACCTTTACACACATTCTCAAACTCATCCACTAACCTTTGCAATTTTTCTTTAGAATCTCCCATAAGCACAGTATCATCAGCAAAAAGTAACTGTGTCAATTCCCATTTTGAATTTGATTCCCCATAATTTAATCCTACCCCTCTCCCAAACACCCTAGCATTTACTTCTTTTACAACCCCATCTATAAATATATTAAACAACCATGGTGACATTACACATCCCTGTCTAAGACCTACTTTTACCAGGAAGTATTCTCCCTCTCTTCTACACACCCTAACCTGAGCCTCACTATCCTCATAAAAGCTCTTTACAGCATTTAGTAACTTACCACCTATTCCATAAACTTGCAACATCTGCCACATTGCTCCTCTATCCACTCAATCATATGCCTTTTCTAAATCCATAAATGCAATAAAAACTTCCCTACCTTTATCTAAATACTGTTCACATATATACTTCACCTAGGTAGTAGGTTGGTAGACAGCAACCGCCCAGGGAGGTACTACCGTCCTGCCAAGTGAGTGTAAAACGAAAGCCTGTGATTGTTTTACATGATGGTAGGATTGCTGGTGTCCTTTTTTCTGTCTCATGAACATGCAAGATTTCAGGTACATCTTGCTACTTCTACTTACACTTAGGTCACACTACACATACATGTACAAGCGTATATATACATACCCCTCTGGGTTTTCTTTTATTTTCTTTCTAGTTCTTGTTCTTGTTTATTTCCTCTTATCTCCATGGGGAAGTGGAACAGAATTCTTCCTCCGTACGCCATGCGTGTTGTAAGAGGCAACTAAAATGCCGGGAGCAAGAAGCTAGTAACCCCTTCTCCTGTATATATTACTAAATGTAAAAGGAGAAACTTTTGTTTTTCCTTTTGGGCCACCCCGCCTCGGTGGGATACGGCTGATGTGTTGAAAGAAAGAAAGATATATACTTCAATGTAAACACTTGATCTACACATCCCCTACCCACTCTGAAGCCTCCCTGCTCATCCGCAATTCTACATTCTGTCTTACCTCTAATTCTTTCAATTATAACTCTACCGTATACTTTTCCTGATATACTCAGTAAACTTATTCCTCTATAATTTTTACAATCTCTTTTGCCCCTTTTCCTTTATATAAAGGGACTATACATGCTCTCCGCCAATCCCTAGGTACCTTCCCCTCTTTCATACATTTATTAAACAAAAGTACCAACCACTCCAACACTATATCCCCCCTGCTTTTAACATTTCTGTCTGATCCAATCAGTTCCAGCTGCTTTACCCCCTTTCATTCTACGTAATGCCTCACGTACCTCCACCACACTTACATTCTGCTCTTCTTCACTCCTAAAAGATGGATACCTCCCTGGCCAGTGCATGAAATTACCGCCTCCTTTTTTCCTAAATTTAAAAGTTCCCAAAAATTCCGCCATCTACTAATACCCCCCTTTCCCCATTACTAACTCCCCTACTTATTTTTAACGGAAAATCCATATTTTCCCCTGGGGCTTTCAAACTTGTTTAACTCATCCAAAATTTTTTCTTATTTTCTTTAAAATTTCATTAAAATAAATAAATAAATAAAAAAATTAAATTAATATTATATTATATATTAATATATTATATATTTAATAGGTAGTAGGTTGGAGCCCAAAACCCCCCGGGGGAGGTATACCGCCCTGCCAATGAGTGTAAAAACGAAACCCTGTAATTTTTTTACAGAGGGTAGGGTTTGTGATGTTTTTTTGTTTCTCAAAAATATGCAAGTTTTTAGGTACGTTTGCTACTTCTACTCACATTTTAGGTCACACTAACATAATGTACAAGAAAACCACACCCCCGGGTTTTTTTCTATTTTCTTTCTGTTTTTATTCTTGTTTATTTTTATCCCCAGGGGGAATTTGGAACAAAATTTTTCCTCCGAAAGCCAGGTGTTTAAGAGGCGACAAAAAAGCAGGGAAGGGGTAGAAACCTTTTTCTCCTTATATATTCTAAATGTAAAAGAAAAATTTTATTTTTTTCCTTTTGGGCCACCCCCCCCGGGGGAAGGGCCCGGTGTGTTGAAAAAAGATTTATATAAATTATATATATATTATATAAAAATATATATATTTTTTTTTTTTTTTTTTTTTTTTTTTTCAACAAGTCGGCCGTCTCCCACCGGGCAGGGTGCCCCAAAAAAAAGAAAATCCCCAAAAAGAAAAACTTTCACATCTTCAACATTTCCCCACACTGCAATTATCACTGTTTTTGCAGATGCTCAGAATACAACATCTAAAATCACTATAAAGATCCCAAAACAACCCTCCAAACGCAATACCCCAAAACCCCCCCTTTTAAAAGTGCAGGCATTGTACTTCCCTTTTCCCGGACTAAACCCGACTAATGAAAAAAACCCGGTTTCCCTGAATCCCTTCACTAAATTTTCCCTGCCCCCACTCCAAAATCGTCGGCCCCAAGTACCTTTCGTCTCCATTCATCCTATCTAAACGCTCAGCACGTTGCTAAAGTCCACCCCCCTTCCCCCCAAGAACCCACCCGGGGAGGTATCCCGTCCTGCCAAGTGAGTGTAAAACGAAGCCTTGTTGTTTTCATTGAGGATTGCTGATGTCTTTTTCGTTCAAAATATGCAATTCGGGCTGTTTGTACTTCTATTTCATTGGGTCACACTACACATACATGTACACATTTATTTATACACACTCATCTATTTTTCTTTGATTTTATCTTAATATTTCTTGGTCTTATTTTTTTTTCCTTTTATACCAGGGGAAAGGGAATAAGAATCTTTCCTCCGTAAGCCATGCGTTTTTAAAAAAGTCAACTAAAATCCCGGAACAATGGGCTAGAACCCTTTTCCCTTTAAAAGATTACAAAAAGAAAAAGAAGAAAAAAATTGTCAAAGTGGGAATTTAAATGGCGTGGATGTTGTGCAAGATAAAAAGAGATGATTGTGGATGTTATGAAGAGAAGAAGCGGATGTCCTGGTTTTAAAGGGAAAACAAAGCTAAAGGGGGGTTTGGGAGAGTTTCAGGGGAAGGAAAAATGGGTTGGGTCAGGGGTTTCAAAAGAGTTAGGCAAAAGAAGGAGTAGCAAATGTTGAAGGATAAGCTATGGGGGAAAAAGAGGGGACTATAAAGTATTTATTAAGGATTAGTGGAGTAAAATAAAAAATTGGAGTAAAAGTGGGTTTAATAAGCGTGTTGCACCTAAAAAGAAGAAGGTAGGGGAGAGAGAGAGTTTTTTGGGAAAAATGTTGATTTGAATGCGGGGGGAGTTTTGAATCAAGTGTGAGAGAAATTGGTTGGGGATTTTTTAATGCTAAAGTGGGGGAAAAAATTTATGGAGGGAGTAGTAGGGAAATTTGGGGGGCCCGGGGGAAATGTAAATGGGGACCTTTTAAATTTAGCTATGTGTTGAAAGAAAATTTTGGGAATAAATATAATATTTTATGAAAAAAGGGATAAAAAATATACAAGGTATATGTACACGTAATGAAAGAGTTTATTAGATTATGTATTGGTGGATAAAAGGTTGATGGGTAGGCTCCCGGGGTAATGTTATAGGGGGCAATGATATATCGGTCATTATTTGTTGTAGCTACAGTTAGGTAAGAGGGGAGATGGGGGGGAAAAGAGAGGGGCAACAAAAGAAAAGGGAGGTGAAAAATGTTAAAATAAGGGGGGAGGAAGTTCGGGTGAGATATAAACGACTATTGGCAGAAAGGTGGGCGTGCAAAGATGGTTTGGGGGGGTTGAAAAGGGTTGGGAAAAGTTTTTAAAAATGCAGATTAGAATGGGGGCAGAAGTTTTTGGTTTTGGGGGGGGGGCGGGGGAAAGAGGGGTGATGGTGGAATGATGAAAATAAAGGGGTGATAAAAAGAAAAAGGAGCTTAGGAGGTTTTTTCAAGCAAATGTTATAAAAAGAGAGAGTATAGGAGAGTAAAAGAAAAGGTAAAGAGGGGGGGGAGGAGTGCCAAAAGGGGGCAGTGATGAGGGGAGGCACTTCAAGAAATTTTTAAAGAAATAAGAAAAATTTTGGAGTAGTTAAACAAGTTAAGAAAACCTAGGGAAAAAAAGGATTTGTCAGTTTTAAAAAAAGGTAGGGGAGTTAGAGTGGGGAGATGGAGGTATTGGGAAATTGGGGGGAGAATATTTTGGAACTTTTAAATGTTAAGGAAAAACGAGGCAGAATTTCATGCCTGGTCAGGGAGGTATACCACTTTTGGAGTGAAGAAGAGCAAATGTAAGTGGGGGGAGGTACGTGGGGATTTTCGTAAAATGAAAGGGGGTTTTTAAAACAGCTGGAACTGATGGGGCAGAAAAATGTTAAAAGCAGGGGGGGATTAGGTTGGAGGGTTGGTCTTTTTTTTAATAAATGTATAAAAAGGGAAAGGGACTAGGGATTTGGGAGAGAAATTTTAGTCCCTTTATAAAGGGAAAGGGGACAAAAAGACTGTAAAAATTATAGAGGAAAAGCTTTTCGAGTATACGGAAAAATGTACGGGAGGGGTTTTAATTTAAAGAATTAGAGGTAAAACAGAATGTTTGGGTTGCGGATGGCAAAGGGGGTTTTAGAGTGGGTTTTGGGATGTGTAGTCAGGTTTTTTACATTGAAGATATAGGAACAGTATTTAGATAAAGATAGGGGAAATTTTTATTGCATTTATGGATTTGAAAAAGGATATGTAGAGGGATAGAGGAGCAATGTGGCAGATTTGCAATATATGGATAGGTGGGAAATTTTTAAATGCTGTAAAGAGTTTTTTTGAGGATAGTGAGGCTCAGGTTAGGGTGTGTAGAAGAGAGGGAGACTACTTCCCGGTAAAAGTAGGTCTTAGACAGGGATGTGTAATGTCACCATGGTTGTTTAATATATTTATAGATGGGGTTGTAAAGGAAGTAAATGCTAGGGTGTTTGGGGAGGGGTGGGATTAATTATGGGGAATCAAATTCAAAATGGGAATTGACACAGTTATTTTTTGCTGATGTTTACTGTGCTTATGGGAGATTCTAAAGAAAAATTGCAAAGGTTATTTGGATGAGTTTGGGAATGTGTGTAAAGGTAGAAAGTTGAAAGTGAACATAGAAAAGAGTAAGGTGATGAGGGTGTCAAATGATTTAGATAAAGAAAAATTGGATATCAAATTGGGGAGGAGGAGTATGGAAGAAGTGAATGTTTTCAGATACTTGGGAGTGACGTGTCGGCGGATGGATTTATAAAGGATGAGGTTAATCATAGAATTGATAAAGGGAAAAAAAGGGGAGTGGTGCGTTGAGGTATATGTGGAGTCAAAAAACGTTATCTATGGAGGCCCAAAAAAGGGAATGTATGAAAATATAGTAGTACCAACATCTTATATGGGTGTGAAGCTTGGGTGGGAAATGCAGCAGCGAGGAGACGGTTGGAGCAGCGGAGATGTCCTTTAAGGGCAATGTGTGGTGTAAATATTATGCAGAAAATTCGGAGTGTGGAAATTAGGAGAAGGTGTGGAGTTAATAAAAAGTATTAGTCAGAGGGCAGAAGAGGGGTTGTTGAGGTGGTTTGGTCATTTAGAGAGAATGGATCACAGTAGAATGACATGGAAAGGGATATAAATCTATAGGGAAGGAAGGCGGGGTAGGGGTCGTCCTCGAAAGGGTTGGAGAGGAGGGGGTAAAGGAGGTTTTGTGGGTAAGGGGCTTGGACTTCCAGCAAGCGTTTCGTGAGCGTGTTAGATAGGAGTGAATGGAGACGAATGGTACTTGGGACCTGAAAGATCTGTTGGAGTGTGAGCGGGTATATTTAGTGAAGGGATTCAGGGAAACCGGTTATTTTCATATAGTCGGACTTGAGTCCTGGAAATGGGAAGTACAATGCCTGCACTTTAAAGGAGGGGTTTGGGATATTGGCAGTTTGGAGGGATATGTTGTGTATCTTTATATGTTTATGCTTCTAGACTGTTGTATTCTGAGCACCTCTGCAAAAACAGTGATAATGTGCGAGTGTGGTGAAAGTGTTGAATGATGATGAAAGTATTTTCTTTTTGGGGATTTTCTTTCTTTTTTGGGTCACCCTGCCTCGGTGGGAGACGGCCGACTTGTTGAAAAAAAAAAAAAAAAAAAAAAAAAAAAAAATATATATATATATATATATATATATATATATATTATATATATATATATATATATATATATATATTATATATATATATATATATATATATTTTCAAAAAGTCGGCCGTCTCCCACTGAGGCAGGGTGACCCAAAAAAGAAAGAAAATCCCCAAAAAGAAAATACTTTCATCATCATTCAACACTTTCACCTCACTCACACATAATCACTGTTTTTGCAGAGGTGCTCAGAATACAACAGTTTAGAAGCATATACATACGTATAAAGATACACAACATATCCCTCCAAACTGTCAATATCCCAAACCCCTCCTTTAAAGTGCAGGCATTGTACTTCCCATTTCCAGGACTCAAATCCGGCTAACTGGTTTCCACAAATCCCTTCACTAAATATTACCCTGCTCACACTTCAACAGCTCGTCAGGTCCTAAAAACCACTTTTCTCCATTCACTCCTATTTAACACACTCACGCAAGCTTACTGGACGTCCAAGCCACTCACCCACAAAGCCTCCTTTACCCCTTCCCTCCAACCTTTTCGAGGATGACCCCTTCCCCGCCTTCCTTCCCCTAGAGATTTATACGCTCTCCATGTCATTCTACTTTGTTCCATTCTCTCTAAATGACCAAACCACATCAACAACCCCTCTTCAGCCCTCTGACTAATACTTTTAGTAACTCCACACTTCCTAATTTCGACACTCCAAATTCTCTGCATAATATTTACACTACACATTGCCCTTAGACAGGACATCTCCACTGCCCCCAACTGCCTCCTCACTACAGCATTTACAACCCAAACTTCACACCCATGTAAGAGTGTTGGTACCACTATACTTTTGTACATTCCCTTCTTTGCCTCCATGGATAATGTTTTTTGTCTCCACAGATACTTCAATACACCACTCACCTTTTTTCTTTCATCAATTCTATGGTTAACCTCATCTTTCATAAACACATCCACTAACAAGTCAACTCCCGAATATTTGAAAACATTCACTTTTTCCATACTCCCTCTCTCCAATGTGATATCCAATTTTTCTTTATCTAAATCATTTGATACCTTCATCACCTTACTCTTATCTAAGTTCACTTTCAACTTTCTACCTTTACACACACTCCCAAACTCGTCCACTAACCTTCGCAACTTTTCTTTAGAATCTCCCAAAAGCACAGTATCATCAGCAAAAAGTAACTGTGTCAACTCCCATACTGTATTTGATTCTGCATAATTTAATCCCACCCCTCTCCCCAACACCCTAGCATTACTCTTCTTCTTTCAACAAACTGGCTGTATCCCACCAAGGCAGGGTGGCCCAAAAAGAAAAATGAAAGTTTTTCTTTTTAAATTTAGTAATTTGTACAGGAGAAGGGGTTACTAGCCCATTGCTCCCAGGCTACACCTGTAAGGGTCATACAGCACTGCTTCCACCAGTATAAGTGAACCAGCAGATTTTGTTCAGTATGTCTGAAGAAGTGTGTGTGAACTGAGATTTGTAAAACTGAGGGTTTACTGTCGGTAATAATTTCACAATTTTATGAAGAATTAGACACATTGCAATACTGGGGTATCTTTAGTTGAGAATGCTTTGCCAAGGAGTGACTTTTCAGTTCAATGCACAGATGATATATGAAAACAGTAGTAGATTAGGTTATCAGTCCCTCAGCCTCATCTCTGTAATGAATTGAAAAAGTCACTGCTTGATGAAATGTCTTCAAATCAAGTTACCCAGGTGTTGCCCATTTCAAATTTCTCATCTTGTTGGAATTATATACCATTAATGAAAGGAGTATAAGAAGTTTAGTGGGCGAGGGGTTTGGACTTCCAGCAAGCATGTGAAATAGAAGTGAATGGAGACGAATGGTTTTTGGGACCTGACGAGCTGTTCGAATGTGAGCAGGGTAATATTTTGTGAAGGGTTTCAGGGAAACCAGTTAGCCAGAGTTGAGTCCTGAAAATCAAAAGTACAATGCCTGCACTTAAAGGAAGGGTTTGGGATATTGGCAGTTTGGAGGGACATCCAAACTGTCATACCTGAGCACCTCTGTGAAGACAGTGATTACGTATGAGTGATGGTGAAAGTGTCGAATGATGATGAAAGTTTTTTCTTTTTGGGTTTTTCTTTCTTTTAAGGTCACCCTGCCTCGGTGGGAAATGGCCGACGTGTTAAAAAAAAATTGTGCTGCTACAATATGTCTACCCTCTCTCCAACACCTGACTAACACTGATTCAGCCTCTAGGTCGCCTCACTCTCAACTCACTTGTCATAAAGAATCATGGCATCAGCTTGTGCCTGCTTGGGGTCATATGTATCTCCTTGTTCCACCAGTTGTTGACGAAAGTTTGACACTGCCACCCACAGCTGGAGCATGTTCCGTCCACCCTCTTGCTCCACGTACTGCCAAAATCAAGCCAATATATCAATGATAGGTTTAGATGATGATCTGTCCAATTGTGTGATGGAACTGAAAGACATAACTATATACATGAATAAGAGTAAGACCAAATAAAGCCATGACTCTGAAATAAATAATAAATACTGTACAGGTGCTCCATGACTTACGATGGGGTTACATTTCGACGAACCCACAGTATGTTGAAAATATACTAAGTCGAATATGAATATATGCTAAACAAATAAATATAACTACTGTCACTGTATAAGTAAATAAGCAAATAATTACTGTAACTAAATACCAGTATTGAAAAGTAAATGAATGAATAACACTATCACACCATCGAAAAGTTGAAATATCATAAGTTGAACAATCATAAAGCGAGGAACATCTGTATTGAAGTCACAGATCCACAAACATCTATGACACAGTACAGATAGTAAATCAGAAAACAAGTTGCTCTATGCTGGCAGCAATGATGAGAAATACTGTGGCAGTTGTATTAGCATGGAGGGTATGTATAATTACATATTTAGGGAAGAATAAAAAGGCACAATACCACGACTGGAACAATACATAAATAACCTGCACATAGGAAAATGAAACTTATGACATTTCGGTCCAACTTGGATCATTAATTACTTAACCCTTAAACTGTTTAAACGTAGATCTATGTTTGCGTGCGTAGCGCTCCAACCTTGATTTTCTCCATAAGAAAGCACTCTACGTTCAGAGTGCTACGCAAGCGAACGTAGATCTACGTTTGGACAGTTAATAGTCCAAGTTGGAGTGAACGTCTCATCATAAGTTTCATTCTCATATATGTTGGTTATTTGTGCAGTGTAGCATTTAGGGAAAGGTGATGGCATGAAGAACAAAAAACATGTAGGGGAAAGAGACAGTGGCAGGAGAGGTATAAAAGAGGCAAAGACAAATGACAAAGGATATACAAATGTTTAAAAAGACAACTGCAGGGTAGAACTTTATTGTGTCACTTCACCTGTGGACAGGTTCCTCCAGTCAATCCTGTGGATAGGTTCCTTCAGTCAATCAGACATTTTTTCCTAGGAGAAACATTTCAATGAAGTTCCTCTCTGCAGTTGTCATTTTCACCACCAGATATAAAAGAGGATGTTGGGGAAAGGGTATTAGCAGGGAGACATATCCTAAAAATATAATCATATAGTCATAATCATAACCATAATTTTTAAAGGGGTGGAGTGGTAAGCCAGTGGAAGGCCTCGGTCAGACGACCAAAAGCTTCAGCTAAGATCCACATCAGGAAACACTTGTCCTGTTTGCTGACAAACCTTACCTAGGGGTATTAGCACAGAGGAAATGTAAATGTTCAAGGAGAGACTGTACCCACAACCACGTTAAAATAACCACAGTGAAATTTCATGATTTTTTCACTTTTGGTTATTTTGCATATTGTGATATCACCTGTTTAGTGTGATCTTACAGCACCTACAACTACGTTAAAAATGCACTAAGTACCGAGCAATCTTCAGTTATAGATGACACTTTGATCTAAGTGGAGCTTCATTAAGCCAGTGAATTCACTAATAGATCTAATAGTGAGCAATGTTGGAAGTTGACAGGTAGTGAGAAAAACACTGTATTTGCAATGAGACTTATTACAGCATTTCATCCATACGTGATAAAGTCTGATCCTGGATGAAATCTTGTACTAGAGGTTTCACTGCAAACATACAGTAAACCCTCAGTATAATGGACTATTGGGAGTTTTGCCCCAGTACTTGTTAAATCAGAATAAAAAAGAAAATAGCAAAAATAAAGCACTAACGTACAAGAGTATACCTACTATAGTACTGTACACACAATTTTGAGTTAAAATGAAATATACAGTGGTCCCCCGGATAACGTAATTAATCCATTCCAGAGAGGGTGTCTTATATCGAATCTGACTTAATCCGAATTAATTTTCCCCATAAGAAATAATGGAAATCCAATTAACCTGTTCCAGACACCCAAAAGTATTAAACAAAATAATTTTTCTACATGAAATATACATTTCCCTACACAGAAAACAATGAGACATGCAGAGTAAAACATTACTAAAATGACACTTACCTTTATTGAAGACTTATTAATGAGTGATGAGACGGGAGGAGGGGAGAGGCTGGAGGTGTACTATTGTTTGGAAGGGGAATCCCCTTCCATAAAGACTTCAGGTACCAAGTCCTTTTCTGGGGTTACTTCCCTTCTTTGTTTTTTAATTCCACTAGGACCAGCTTAAAAGTCACTGCACACATGTGGCACTATATATCTGCCCAGAGAGCTCTGTTTCTGGCATCTCTTTCAGATTTCCCTAAAATGGGGCACAACATTGTCATTGTAAATGTTGGCAGCATGGCCCGCAACAGCTGTGTCAGGGTGATGTTCATCCATAAATGTTTGCACATAAGAAAGCACGAACAATGCAGCAGGCCTGTTGGCCCATACCAGGCAGGTCCTTCACGAACCATCCCACTAACACAATCGTATTTGTCCAACCCAATTTTTAATGCTTCCCAAGCAATAAGCTTTGATAAATCTATTCACTCATGCAAAAATCCCACTCAAATCAAATCACGTGTGTGTGAGGAAGTACCCTGTCTGGTGTGTGGGGAAGTACCCTGGCTGGTGTGTGGGGAAGTACCCTGGCTGGTGTGTGGGGAAGTACCCTGGCTGGTGTGTGGGGAAGTACCCTGGCTGGTGTATGGGAAAGTACCCTGGCTAGTGTGTAGGGAAATACCCTGGCTGGTGTACCACCATCACTACCACCCTCTACCACCACCACTTTCGTATCTTTCTGCAAACTTTTTCTTGAATTCTATAGTGTTTCTCACCCTCTTTACCAAAGGGCTGGCACTAGAAGCTTTCTTTGGGTCCATGGTCACTTATTTAGCAGTTACAAGCACTAAAAACAATGGAATAATACAAAATGTATCGCATGTACGCGTGGAATCGTCCTCACTGGCTGGTAAACAATGGCACACTGGCTGTACATGGAGTGTCCAGGCCACTCATGGCGTGCGGACATGTTCAGGACAAATGACTTTAACCGAGCCAATATTCTGACGCATAAACATTACTTAATCTGATTATAACTTAATCAGGGGTCCACTGTACATTAAAAATAACTGAGTAAAATTTACCTACCTCCAGGTAGGTAGATCATTTTAAAAATCCATTATATTGTTGTATGGAGGTCCATTATACTGAGAGTTTAATTAGAGTGAAACACTGTCTACACTGTAAACAGAGCATTGCTTATAATGTGATAAATGTTGCACCTATTGAATAGCAAAGGTTGCTGCCCAACACATACAACCTTAGCGTTTGCTGGGAAACTGTGTAATGGATAAACAAATAAGTTATATGGCATATATTGTTTACACGATCTTAAAAAAAAAAAAAAGTTTATAAAAATAATTAAATAAATCCTTACGTATCCCTCAAAAAACTTTCATTTGCAATACCGTGTACAATGTAAGATGCAGCAAAACATCCCTTTTTTTTTTTTACCTCATTGCCTGTCTCCTACCAAAAAAGTGTAGCTAAAAGAAGAAAACCTTTCACCATCATTCATTCAATATCTGTCTTGCCAGAGGTGTGCTAGCAACACAATTCAGATGACCCACTGACTGCAACATCTCCACCTCTCCTTCAGAGTGTAGGCACTACCCTTCCCACCTCCAGGACTTGGTCTGGCTAACCAGTTTCCCTGCATCCCTTCATAAATGTTACCTTGCTCACACTCCAATAGCTAGTCTAGTAAAAACCACTGGTCTCCATTCTCTCCAATCTAGCACACTCTCACAAGCCTGCTGGATGCTCAAGCCTCTTAAACTCAAAGCCTCATTTACCCCCCCCCCCCCAATCCCTCCAACCCATCTTGAGACAAATCCTACTCTTCCTAACTTCAACAACAAATTTATAAATCCTCCAATGTCTAGTTTCTCTTTTTAACTTTAGGAATGTATACAGGAAAAGGGGTTACTAGCCCCTTGCTCCCGGCATTTTAGTCGACTCTTACGACACGCATAGCTTATGAAGGAAGAATTCTGTTCCACTTCCCCATGCAGATAAGAGGAAATAAGAACAAGAACTAGTAGGAAAACAGAAGAAACCCCAGAGGGGTGTATATTTGTATGACTGTACATGCAAGTGTAGTGTAACCTAAGTGTAAGTAGAAATAACAAGTCATGCCTGAAATCTTGCATGTTTATAAGACAGAAAAAAGACACCAGCAATCCTACCATCATGTAAAACAATTACAGGCTTTCGCTTTACACTCACTTGGCAGGACAGTAGTACCTCCCTGGGTGGTTGTTGTCTACCAACTTACTACCTAGGAAAATTTTATTTTATTATATGAGAGGTTTTTACAAAGTAAAAGTGATGCAAGGAGGAAGGAGTATATGGAGAGAAAGAGAGAGGCTAAGAGAGTGGTAAAGCAAAGTAAAAAGAGAGCAAATGAGAGAGTGAGTGAGATGTTATCAATAAATTTTGTTGAAAATAAGAAAAAGTTTTGGAGTGAGATTAATAAGTGGAGAAAGCCTAGGGAACGAATGGCTATGTTAGTTAACCCTTTGACTGTTTACATCATATATACGTATACGTCTTACGCGCCACTGCTTCTGACGTATTAATACGTGAAAATTCTAGCGGCTTCAAATCAAGCGGGAGAAAGCTGTTAGGCCCACATGTGAGAGAATGGGTCTGTGTGGTCAGTGTGCACCACATAAAAAAAATCCTGCAGCACGCAGTGCGTAATGAGAAAAAAAAAACTATGTTTTTTTGGATTAAAACACCGACTTTGAGGTGTATTTTCGTATAGTATTTATCGTTGTATTCTCGTTTTCATGGTCTCAAGTGATAAAATGGAAAACATATTACAGAAATCGAGATGATTTTGATTACTTTCACAATGAAAACGACCTAGAAATTGAGCTCAAAGTAGTGGAAATGTTCGATTTTTACCAATGTTCAGGAG